AAAGAAACATAAGAATAGTAATCGTAATCCAACGAATCTAATAGTTGGAACTCAAAATGTATCGCAACGTAACTTTTGAATCTTTTTTGAGTCTTTGCGACAAGTATTGGAGTGTCGGGGAGTGTCGGTGAGTGTCGGGAAGTGTCGGGAAGTGTCGGACACGACACGTCAGGAATTTTGAAGTGTCGGTGCTTCATAGCCAAAGAGTACAAAGTTAAAAAACTGTTGTTGGTTTTCTTTTAATTATATACTTCCAGGAATACATGGTTAAAAATCGATTTCAGAAATTCCTGTAACACGAGAAACATATTTCGCATGTGGTTCTAATACTGGCTACCCATATTTGTCATAAAATTGTTTGGTTCATTGAACCAAAAATTGGAAGAGTGCATAAACTCTGTTTGCAAAGTTTGTTCACTTAAAAATGAAGACACCCTTTTTTTTGAGTTTTATTAAGAATAGTCCCAGATTTGACGGCACCCATTTTTCCAATAATGTTGTACCACTGAAAAGTACTCTTTGAGGCGTCAATTTTTTGTCACTTATGTCTGATGTATATATATCAGTTAGATGAACCTTCAATGTAACTTGATCATTTTTCATCTCTTATCAATTTCAATACCTATGTTGTTTCAAGCATATTTACTCTATTTTACTTTCTTATTTTAGACCTAATTAGCCTATTGCTTAGCATCCTATTTAGTTTAATTAAGACAGAAATATGAACTTGTTTTATGGTATCCTTGCCAGACATACCATTAAAGAGATTATTGAAATACTCTGAATATATATTTTTCATTGTCATGTCATTAGGCTTATCAAGTTTGTGCTTTTAAATGATTGTGGGGGAACAAAATCAATTACCAGATAGATAAATAATCATTAAGCATGAGGGAAGAATAGTGGAATTCATTGTGCCACTCACTTTTTAAAAGATTTAAACTTAAAAAAGTTAATGAACATAGTTGTAGAAAATGATGAAGCAGATTTTATGATTGTAACAGCCGTTGTTTTCACCCCATGAACATATTTCACATGCTAAAAGAGCTCACTTAGAACATTGAACACAATTTGGTTTACAATGGACAAGAACAAACATAAAAACATTCAGGAGCCCAATTTTGGCCTCCAAAGTACTGAGATCAAAATTTTGTCTGGGTTCTTCTCTCTCTCTCGCTCTTAGTATTTTTTTTTTATCTTGTTGCTTTAGCTTTGTGTCTTATATTTTCAATCTTAACCTCAAAAAAAAAAAAAAAAAAATGATCTTCCATTGGTTGATATTCTGGCGCTTCATCCGTATATGCTTGGACAAAATTAGGTAGAAGAAAATCTCATATAGCTAGAAAATGTGCACTTTATCGACATGTATGATCACTAGGTACAATGTTTGACACTACTTTATGTTATCTCTGATATCCATCTGTTCGCATTTGATGTGAGGAAATCATATTATATGACTTGAGCATGATTGCAAAGCCAAGGGACACACGGGTCCGCAATGTTGGAAACAAACATGGTCGTGATTGTAAGCATGGAGGACACTCTCCATGCACATAATTAAAGTTGTTGGCTGAACAACTATTACATTTCCAAAGTTCCCAATTTATTTATTATTTAATTTGTTTTTTGGAGAAAAGAGAAGAAATGCGAGACGTCCTGTATGTTTGTTTGCATCATAAGGACTGAAAATCTTGGCTATTTTTATCAATAAGAAATTTTGTTCTAACTATAGACTTGATATTTCATTTTTTTAAGAACAATGGTCTGAAAAAGAGTAAACATTGTGATGCGATGAATCCGTTAATATTGTCTAAAATGATGGAAATCCTTTATGCTTAAATAGCAGAAAAATTAAAAGCTGTCTCTACTTAATTGATAAAGTATCATGTATTTCAACATGTGACTTTAAGAATTTAAAATCCGATAGTCTTTGGCAAAGATACGGTTTATGAAAAAGAGATGATTCTCTCGTTGAATATGTAACTCACATAGATGAAAAAAGAAAATTCCGCTGTTATAAAGTTGATGATTTATACTTCAACGTTAGGTGTAAAGGAGATTAAAATGACAAAGAAAACATAACCAAACGCTTGATGAAATGTGAAAATCAAAAGGAGTTGAGTACGTGAATTGTGAATGGATATGTCTTTTGGTTAGTGAGCGAAAACCGAGGATAGAAAAGGAGGTCTAGTATGTTACCAACTAGAAAAAGAAGGTTAAGAAAACATTATGGCCAATGGGTTTGGCTCACTTGATCAACTTTCAGTTTGTGACGGTATAAAATTTAACTGTAAATTTTAATTCTGTTTGAGGTTCGTGATTTATCTTGGATAAAGAATACAGAGAATTTTATCTCATCTTAAACTTTTATATATATATATATATATATATATATAAATATATATAGGGATAGGATCAACTTGTAAGAATAATAAATCTTACACTAAATCTTAACCGTTGATTTCCGTGCATCCAATAGTTGAGATTTATTGAGAATTAAAAATTAATTAATGAGTGAGACATAATGAATCTTAACCATTAGATGTAGAAAATCAATGGTTAAGATTTAGTGTAAGATTTATTATTCTTACACTGGTGTAAGATGATCCTGCCCCATATATATATATATATATATATATATATATATATATATATATATATATATTTCTCAAGCTGCTTGGGATATATTTATCTCCGATCACCCTAAAACTATGTCATTTTATTTATTTATTTCTTTACATTAATTGATTCACCTTTGAACGGTTATATTTCCCTTTTTCTCTCTCTTTCTTTAAACCATTGATTCATCTTTGTACGGTTACGGTTTAGTGGCCGGAGATAAAGTTATCTCAAGCAGCTTGAGAAACGATAAGCACATATATATAACGGTTATAGGTTAAAAAGTTATACTAATTAATTAATTATTAATTACATTACAAATAACAATCGTTGATTTCCGTCTATCAACGGCCGAAATGGGAAGTAAGACTTGTAAGTCTTACTCTAAAGTCAAAAGAACCCTCCCTATATATATCCGTCGAATGTCCTGTTACAGGACATCTTTATTCTCCTACAACCCATTTTGAACTATGTAATCTGGGGAGTATATATTTATAATATTAAAGTTATTTTTCTCTCTCTCTTCCATGTCAGCAAAAGAACAACTTTTTTTTTGGAAATAATAATAAAAACTTTAACATTATAATTATGTACTTCTATTGTAGGACATCCTTTTTGTCCTGCAACCCGTTTTTAATTATGTACTCCGGAAAGTACATATTTATAATATTAAAGTTTCTTTTTTTTCTCTCCTACGCGTCAGTAAAAAAGTAACTTTAATATTATAACTATGTACTTCCCAGAATACATAGTTAAAAATGGGTTGAAAGACAAAAATCTCATTCCTTCAAGATAATATTTATATATGTGGATTTATTGTTTCTACATCAACATGAGATAAAGTTATCTCTATCAATCGCAAAAATATGTCGTTTTGGAGGTTGGGGAATTAATAAAGGATATTTTAGGAATTTTAATTTGTTTTTTGTTATATAAATTTTACCAAAACACCCTTCGTTAATTCCCCCGACCCCATCTCCAAAATGACATAGTTTTGGAGTTGATAAAGATAATTTTATCTCATGTTGATGGACAAATGATAAACTCTCTCTCTATATCTATCTATCTATCTATCTATCTATGTATCTATCTATATATATATATATATATATATATATATATATATATATATATAATTCATTTTTTCTGCGGTGACTGCAGATAACTTATATGCATTAAGTCCAAAACGACATCGTTTTGGCACGGAAGTCAATCTATTTTTATAACTTTAATATAATTTTTTAATCTTTCAATCTCAAAACGATATTATTTTGATAGTTAATACAGATCACTTATCTGCTGTCATTGTAGAAACAGTTTTCTAATATATAAATTAATAAAAAATAAAAAGAGAGCGAGGGAGAAAACAATAGGAATGTTTATCACTTTATTGTAAAAGAAGTAATGTTTCATAAGGATCCCTTCACATTGGCGAACTTGGTCATAATTGGCAGTATCTGCGTGCACATTCCTTGGATGCAACACCAAGTATTGACTTTATGTTTGGACAATAAACACTATGGATCATTGTTTTCAAACTGATGTCTTCTCTATTTTACATCTCTTCTTTCTCATCATGGCCGCCCATGGTGCTTATTTACTGTTGAGTCCAGCGCCTACTACTGCCAAAGTGGTGGCTTTATGACAACAACGTTCCAACCATGTATGAAACAATGGTTAAAGTTTGTCAGATGCAGTATCCACTTTCAGTGTTTTCCCACATTTGCTTTGTAACAAATGTCTCATTATTTGACTACTAACTTCATTAGCCCCCTTCTTTTTTTTCCCTCTCTCTCTCTGTCTTCTTGTTAATTGTTATTGTCTTTCTTGACATATAATCCAAATTTTGTCTGAATAATAATGATAATAAACAAACAAAAGTTTGGGATATCATATCTAACACAGACACCGGTCCCACACCATCCTGCACTTTCTGAAGAATTTTGGGCTACTTTTGAGTAATACCAGATATGATAAACAAGGAAAAAGTTATATTTACAAACTTTTTGTTTATAAACTCTTACAAATTACACTAAATATGATCGGTCATATTTCAATCAAGAGTGTATAATCGGTCATACTTAATGTAATATATAAAAAAAAGTTAGTAAACGGATCCCTCCTCGATAAACAAAAGGAAAAGCTGGAAAATTGAATTCTTTTAAAACTAATTCTACATTGTAGTCCATCATATGCATGATTTGCTTTAGTACATGATTGGCTACATTCTGGTTCCACATGGTTGTCCACTAATTGGTGAATTGATTGAAATTCCCGGGTGACTCTTCTATGGTACTAAAGTTTATACTATCTTTTATTACATATGGTGAATTACTATCACCCTACCCCCACATAAAGATGTGAATGCTACATTATAGAGACTAAGCTGAACCAACAGAGCAAAGCTCAATTGACCCATAATCAAGCAACTCCTGTATCATCTGCTCAATGTGATCATCTTCAAGAACTGGTTGAAATTGTTGCTGAGAAACTTCAACTTTGCCTTCCACGCCAACCCAATTCCCTTCTAGCCATCTAAAACAAGGTTCAGAGCTTGTTCCAGCAATGGCATTGCCAGAGGCAAATGGATTGGACCTCTGTGATGATATTGCTTGAGGCTCTTTCTGTGCTGGTTTCTGCTTTGCCATTTGAAGGGAAAGGGAAGCCATGTGACACTTATGAAGCTTGGCTGTTAAAGTAGCTGAGAGAAACTTAGATGAAGATGAGTGTGGCTCATTGGGGTTGTATGGGAAATTAGTGCGTGTTTTTGGGCCACACATGAGCCTAGCTGCTTCATCATATGCTCTTGCTGCATCTTCTGCTGTTTCAAAGGTTCCTAGCCATATCCTAGTTTTCCTATAGTCCAAAAAAAATAAAAAATAAAAAGGTTTCAATTTTCATCAACACCAAAAGGTCTTAAGAGTTTAATAATCATATCAAGTCAATAATAGTGTGTAATAAAGAGGTTTGAGAAGTAAAACTAATGCAAAACTGTAAGAGGGGGGGGGGGGGGGGGGGTTAATTGTGATAAAGAAAAACTCAGGTTCATGTGCTATGAAACACTTAATTAAACAGGGTTGTTACAATAAACTAAGGGAAAGTGAATTACAATAAAGGGTGGCGAATTTCAGAGACCCAAGATCCCCAGTGCCTCTGGCGTACACCTCGGTAGCGTTGTTGGGGTCTAGCCATGATGATGATGATGAAAAGAGAAACTTCAAGTTTGAAAACTCAAAGGTGTAATTTTAGTGAAGTGTGTCTTTGAGAAAGAGAAAACATATAGGAAAGGTGACTGAAGTGAAGTGATGTGAAGAAGGAGGAGCTCACCTAAATTTATATAAGGGTCTTTTTGGCAGCGTCCTACTCTTATCAATTTATAAATGGCCCACGCATATGTTTCACCATCTTGTTTGCGGAAATTTTTTGATGATACGGATCCACTGTAAACTCGGTGCATCTCTTATTTATATTGTGAGATGTATTTTATTTTTGTTAAATTAATAATAAATAATTTATTTCAAAATTAAGACAGATAGTGATTTGATATAAAGTAAAATACATGTCACAATATAAGTGGAAGATGCACCAAATTTTCGATAGATCTGTAATACCAAAGATATTCTCCTTGTTTGCAGACTAAAATTTAACCTTGGTGTTTGAAAAATATATCTTTTATCAATTGTGTTTTTATATATACATTTTATTAAATTAGCTCTTAACATTTGAGATTTTTTAATTTTTTTTTCATTCATTTGAGTTTAATAATGTTAATTTTTAAAACTAATTTTGTAACATTCGAAGATGATATAATATGTCTAATTTAACTAATTAGGCTAAAATAATCTCCTTTGACCAAAATCTCATATAGATACACTTATATATATTCAAAAAAAAAAATATTACACATATTTTGATCTCCCTTCATTCTCGTTTGGTGTCTTTTAGTTCTAGTAATTTCATAGATTATAATTATTTTATCATATATATCACATGAACTTTCTTTCAAGGGTTTCATGCCTCTCACGTTGTATGAGATAAAATTATCTCCTATACATACGTAAAAATATGTGGGGCTTAAAGCAATAGGATTGGTCTAGTGGTGAAGTGTTTAAGTAGTTTGTATTAGGTTGTGTGTTCAATTCTCACCACTATATATATATATATATATATATATATATATATATATATATATATATATATATATAAAGATCCATTTTCTCTCTCTCTCTTTCCTTCTTATATGACCCCGCATGGTCCCCTATATTTTTTTATATGTGTAAGAGATAAAATTGTTAATACGTCTCAAATTATGAGTGCACAAAAAATAAGAAGCTAAAATTAAGCTATTTTGTGGAGGTGATATGGAGTGTACCATACTATGACTTTAGAGTATGTGAAGAGTAAGCCACTAAATTTGGTCTAGTGGTGAGAGATTTGGATAGATTGTATTAAGTTATGTGTTCAATTCTCACTTGTATCAAAAAAAAAAAAAAAAGAGTATGTGAAGAGTAACATAAAAGTTATATAAAGAATTTTAAAGTTACATAAAAGCTATTTCAAAGTCACATAAAGAACTTTAAAGTTGCATAAATTTGTGTGGCGTCATCTTTTGAAGTTACATATAAGCTTTTAAAGTTGTATAAATTTACATTATGTCATCTTTTGACTTAATAATTTTAAACTTAAATAGATGGAAAAAAGAAAAAAAAAATTAGAGACTAAATTAATAGCATGAGGAAAGATCTTTTGACCATAGAGTAAGACTAAAATATAACCGTTAAATGGATTGAAATCAATGATTGAAATAAGATGTAAGACTTTTTATTTTTACAGCCATAAACTCATAACAATGTATCTCATATTATTTTTATTTTTATTTTTCTTAAAAGATGATGGATCCCACATTTTCTTCTCCCTGCTGCAAAATATGATCCTCTACATGACAGCAGAGGTATAAAGCCCTAATAATATATACTCAGCAGTTCATAGTTGTTACTAAAACCTAGAGGTGGCAAAGCGGGCTGCCCGCCCCGCCCAGCCCCTGCCCGCCAAGCCCCTGCCCGCCAAAAAGCGGGCTGGCCCGCCCCGCCCCGCCATTGAAGGTGGGCTAGATATCTCTGTCCGCCAAGCCCGTCACATTTTACACTAAAAATTAAAAAAAAAAAATATCAGCCCGGGCGAGCTGGCGGGTTTAGAAAACTCAGCCCGCCCCGCCCCGTTTGGCGGGCGGGGCGGGCTCGGCCCATTTTGCCAGCTCTACTAAAACCTTCATTCCTCATCTATAAATAGTTTCATTATTCTATACTATGTAGTATAATATCATGAAGTATTTGGTACAATACTAAACCCAAATTTACACTCTGCTAACTGTTGAACTCAATTTAATTGCCACATACTTGTCATCTATTTGCGTATACTGGACATGGTGTTTCCAAAAATCAGCATGCAATTGGCTGTTACTAAGATAGACAATAAGGATATCCATGTGAGAATCATCCCTGATTTTTTATATGACGACAAGTCTAAAAGAGGAAGTAAGCATGTTTGTCTATTATTGAAGATGTTAGTGGACATAGCTACGTGGCTCACTTCACAGTTTCCTTAACTTGGGAAACCTTCCCATATGCCACAATGCAAGGTGAAGACACAAATTCATGTGTGATGTAAGGAATCTTTTCGCACACATGATATAAGTAATTGAGAAGTTTTGGGCTAAGGTGTGTTTGGATACATTAATAATATAATTCAATAGTATGTTCATGTATAACTCTAATAGTTGAAAGTATGGTTATTTGAGTCTATATGGGGTGAAGTCCAATAGCTTGTATTATCTCTAGGGTTTCTTAAGCTGGAGATAACACTGTTGAGCATTGCAAAACTTGATGTCTCTTGGTGTAATACGTCAAACACCTATAAACCATTCTCTCTCAAACTCATAACCTCCAACAAGGTGTAAAGTGAAGGATTAAATTTTTTTAATCATTGGTTTTATGTAAACGAGGTTTATATATATATATATATATATATATATATATATATATATATATATATATATATTGTGTGCATATGTCATTCCTTTTATGTAATTTTAAAGCCCCTCCTCTATTTTTTTTTTTTTAGGGTGTGTGGTTTGGGGTCTTGTAGGATAGTAGCTGCTATTTTTGACCTCCTATTATTTTGTTGCATTAGGCAATATTCCAAGTTAGCAAACATTGATTTTGACATGAATTAATGGGTTACCCGTCCTGTTTTCCCTCGTTCTCTCAAAAGCTTAGGTCAGCCTCACATGCCAACCAAGTTGGGTCTTGCTACCCCCAACAAAATATAAGGCTCATCTACTCCATAAAATGCACGTTGTGTGAAACTTGAAGCTATAAGGTGCTATTTTACATTATAATAATGCTTGGTGTAGAAAAGCATTAGACATATTGATTTACATTTGTCTGAGGTTATATAATTAAATTGTGAGCATATAAAAAAATAAAGTGAAATCGATTGTAATTAAATTTTCAAAAATATATAAATACGAAGTGATGTATGTGATTATCATTATTCATTATATTATGTCTACCCATAAGAGTTTACATGTGAGATGGACATCATGTTTTTTTTTAAAAAAAATTGTAAGTTAATTTAATATAGTTTTTTTTTCCTTTCCTCTAAAAGTAACAGCAAACAAAAATCTGGATGGTATATCATTTTAATTTTTTGAAAATTTTTATAATGATTTTCATATTTTTGATATATAAATATAAAAAATAGTTACACTTTTTCATGAAATTAATTAAAGTAAAAAATTATTGATATAATTTCTTTTTGGTGATTAAGACTCGGATCATTAACTGTTGACAAGTTACAACAATACAATCACTATATGAAGCTAAATGTTGAAGATAGAAAAAAAAAAAATCGCATTATTTTTGGGAGTTGGGACAAAATTTTAGTATTTGAGCATTGGATATTTTATAATTTTAAAATTGACTGTTTGTTCAGAAAAAATAAATAAAAAGAATCTCGAATTAATCTTATTAAATCCAACTAAAATAGGATTTACGAAAATTGGTTATATACCTTTTTGCGGTCCAAATTATAAATAAAAACAAGAAAAGAAAAATATTTGGCCTTTTAGGTCCTCCAAAAAGTATAGTAATAAGTAATAACTACAATGAACTTCCATAAAAACCGTACGTCTTCGTGGGTGTATAATTTTATAATGATCTTCGTATATTCTATGACGTACATTTGTATGTAAATTTTTAAATGGATTTAACATCTATGTCTAACTAATCTAATAATAAATATTTCAAAGTAATTTGTTTAAAATAAAGAAAAACTTTATATTCTTTTTTTGTTTTTTGTTTTATGCAGGCAGGTAGTATCAGTCCTTTTCCAAAAACAAATAATAAAATAGTTGGTTCTAAAAAGACTATAAATATTCTAAGTTATTCTGCTTACGCCTCTCAGAGAGTGATGGGGTCTCTTAAGAAGAATGAAAGGACATTATAATATAATTAGCTGGATAAACTAGTTTTGGAGCCAAATATATCAAAGTCATCTCTTACTTGTGTCTTTCTATCGTTGACATGGTAAATGCTGAACGTTAAACTTTATTCCATCATTTACTCTCATTATTAAAAACATTAAAAATTAGGTTTACAAGAGAAAGCCGGCATAAGGCAGAGAATACGTACATGTTATCTACATACAATACCATCATACATTTTATCAATATTAATTCTAAAAAATGAATCATAAAAATCTAGCAAGTATATGATTAACATTACTTTTAACTGGCATGATTAATTAAGAGCAAAACACAACTTCTGATCATGATTTGGTGTATCGTGCATTTTTTCCATAAAGAAATTAAGAAAGAAAAAACAGATCGACTCTGTGCTTTCTATTAATTTCAATTTTCCAAAATGTTTAATCCAATGAACAAGTAGTTAATGGTTCTAAATGATTAATTCTATTAAACATGATAATTATCCAGATATATATATATATATATATATATATATATATATATATATATATATATATATGCAGTTTTCATTTCTGAAATTTGTATACTCAGCGCCTAGTATTTTGCATTTACTTTTTTTACGGTCTTATTTGCAATTACTAGTATCTTATTGTACTGCGATTTAGTTATGTGTTTTTTTAATAATGGAATTTCCCAAAATTAATGTGGATGAGTTAATTGAAATTGTAAAGTAATATACATCATATTAATTTAACAAATTTGTAACATGATTGACACCAATACTTATAAATTTCAAGTATAGATTATCTATTTATTTATGTTATATTTCTTTTTTGAAAATATTCCAATCGGTTCATTGCTTCACAACTAATCCGATTCAGGGTGGGTCCAGGATTAAGGTTTTAAACTCCTCCCAAAAGTGGTACTGAGAAGATTCGAACACATGCTCTCATCCCCACCTGCTTAACTCCCATGCGCCAACTGAGCTACCACCATTTGGTTTTATGTTATATTTCTATGAGATTTTTTATACTACTAATACTAAATGAAAACTTTCAATTCCTTCAAATTAAATCTAAAAATGATTAAATACTTTGATCATATACTTTTATATATCCAAGTTAAAAATCTAAAGTAATAATTACAATTCATCATAAAATTAAATCTTGCCTTCATTAAAAAAGGAACTGAAAAATGAAAAATTTCTTCTTATTTAAAATAGTACTTACACTTCAAAACGATTTATGCACCAATACCATACATATATTATATTTTGAATAATTTTCAAATTTTTTTAAATTTTAATATACTTCTAGCTTATATTTTTAAATTATTTTGAGTTTCCGTAGGGTACGAGTGAAATATTATAATAATTAGATAAATAATAATATTTAGTATATATAATATAATTAATATTAATTTATGAAACACCTATATATATATATTCTAATATAGTATTTAGTTTTATATTATTTTTATACATTATATTTTAATTCAATTGTGCTTTATAAGTCAAATATGGTAGTTATATATATTCATATATATCGTGTATGTATCCATACTTTCTGCTAATAAAAAAATCAACAAGAAGACAATTTTTACATAAAAAAATTTAAATAGATGTGGACTTAATAGGTTTTATGCAGCGGGGCTTTGAATTATATACATGCTTTATGTGACATATGTCTCTCATAGTTTTTTAAACGAAGAATGCAAACCAGAAAAAAAAAATTAAAACAAAAAAAAAGGCAAAAGAGTATCAACCTAATGATAAGTTATACGCACAAATTAGAAAGTGTTTAGTACAAATGAGCCATTCCATAAAATGATGTTTTTCCAACTTCAGTCTTTTTTATAGTCACTTGCTATATCTAAGGGACATATGTTTTGCAAGATAGCTACAACTGTTTGTCCTTATCATCTGCGTAATGTATCTTCGTATTTAATTGACTTTTTTTTATTTATATTTTATGAAGTATCATGGCTGTTGAATGAACAGAACACGTGCACTATCCAACCCCTTTTGATCTTATGTATTTATTATTGTCGCAATAATAACGCTATAAGGCTCTTCCATTTGTAATGCAACTGATTAATGCATTATTTTGTATATCGATCGAATTGCATCAATACAAGCAAATACCTAGCATTACTAATAATGAATAATAATTACAATTTTAATAGTATCATAGGATCGAACAACATTCATAAATGATGAGGTCTCCTAGGCTTCCAATTGTGTCAATGCATGTAATTTTTAATCACTAATAGACCAGCACCTGCCTGGTGAACCAGCATATGTAGTACAAGATGTAAATGATAATAATTACTTATATTCTAATGAATAATACAATAACCTAAAGAATTAGTTAGAGAAAATGGGAATGGTGGTGCCAAATTCCAAGAATCAATTGTCAATGGCTTTTGTTAACCAAAGACTACTCCAACTCCTTAGCAAAGCATTTAATTGCAGTTTATCACTTTCACTCTCTTACTCCTTTCAATCCTCTCAATTATGATTCTTACAAATAGTACAATGATTATATACTTTTTATGATTATGAAATTAACTATTTAAGCAACCTTGTATTGTGAAAAACATCCAATATAGCGATGGAGTGAGGAGAGGGGCATGCATAAGAAATTATTTTTCCAATACTATTTATAGTAATAAACTACAATGGAGAGACTTTTCAATTTAACCTCCAAATCCATGTTCTTAGTTGCTCTCAATTTCTTTTTTCATTTGGTTGATGGAAAAGTTTAAGGAGAGGGATCGTTTCCTTCATTTTATACTAAAGAGAATCACCTAACTTGCAATAGAATGACAAATTTTCTATCAATAAAGGATTCCCAAATTCAAACTCAAATTATGTAGTTGTCATGAGTGTAAAGTGGACCAAGTGAATCAATTGCTATTGAAAAGTTGTTCTCAAATATATCTTATTGAAATAACAATAGTTAAGATAACACTCCTTTAAAGGAAATTTATTTCTAAAGTGAGTAAGTAAAAATATATTTATCTTTTATTTCTCAAATATATACTTTTATTTATATACTTTAAGACAAATTCGGTTTAAACAAAGTTTTTCTAAAAAATTAAAGACAGCCCTTCTGTTACTGAATAAGAGGTATCACTATACACTGTACTATGAAGACCGGCAAATAGCCCTTTATGGTTAGTGTGTCTTAATTAGTGTTCATAGCTTCTAAATAAATAAGATGTATAAGCCTCTGTTCGTGTTGGGGGGTTAAGGATAGTGGAAATTGCCGAATCTTTACTAAGACTCTTCATGAATTATTATGCAAGATTTATATCGGTCGGTCCACCTATCTTTGTAAACTCAATTAACTAAAAAAAATCCACATAATTATGATAATTGTGAGGCGAAATGATTTTTAATCATCTTCCCCACACAAAGAAAGGAAACTTAGAACTTTCGTGCTAATTTTATTGGTAAATTTAGTGTTAATCCAATTTAGAAAAGTAACCTATAATATTAATATTGTTTGAATGAATAATTTGTATGCACGTTTAGGATGATCCAATGAAAATTTATTACACATACACACATATATATATATATATATACGGGACAAATTCTTTTTACACCAGTGTAAAATTAACAAGTTTTACACCACATCTTAATCGTTGATAGACGAAAATCATCGGTTAGTATTTGTAGTGTAATTAATGATTAATTAATATTAATTAATTCATATGACTACCTAAATTATAACCGTTGAATTTACGAAAATCAACAGTTGAGATGTGGTGTAAGACTCATTAGTCTTATACCGGTATAAAATAATCCTGATCTTTTATATATATATATATATATATATATATATATATATATATATATATATATATATATATATATATATATATATATATATATATATATATATATATATATATTTGTTTTGGGGGAGTAGAATAGAGGAATTTTATTAAGAAACTTAAGGTTGACCATAATATCTGGGAGTAAAACTTTACTACTTCAGCAGTACTTATTTGACATTAATCATAAAAGAGTAAGTAGAATAAATAGTGAGCTTGATTTTTTTTTTCCTTAATAGATTATGCATTGAATTGTCCGTACTAACTGAAGAAAATTTTCTCCTTTTATTAAATTTCTTTTAATTTTATTTTATATTTCACTTTTAGTTCTAGATGAACATAAAGTGGTTTGAGTGCTAGCAAACCAGCGACTAAGTTAAAGAACAGGCGTGCTGTTAGAATCATAGAAATCGAAAGCAGTGATCATTTTCAACGAGGAAAAACTTTTCTTGGCATTATATGTTCCACTTTGATTATCCTCCATCTATGCACGCATTAAAATTTTAGTTAGCCCTATTATATAAGAACTTCTAGTGGGCCACACTTGATATTTAAAGTCAAGGGTACTAGTCATTTCAACTTGGGTGGGGCTCACATCACATGCTAAACTTCAAAACTTAGAAGACATAGCAAATGTTACACACTTCGGTCACTTGGGGTTTAAAGATCCTATCAGGAATTATATGTACTAAATTACCGATTTTTTGCCAAACATTGACACAGCTTCAAAGGTTGTTAATGTTTACTACAAATGATCGAATACATACAGGACAGGTACATATCATGTTATCATTAAACGATGATGACATTGGGATCAAGAAATGAAGAGGCAAGCCTCCTTCATTGCTTCTTTGTGTATGAAACAAAGAATCCATCATGATCCATCAACATGAATTGTAAAAGATATCAGAGCATCATTTGAATCTGTACATGGGATCAAAGAGCAGCAGCTTAAACCATACCAATACACCGGCAGAGTATAAAAATGGGCAAACCTAAGAAAAAAAAATTTAAAATGAAAAACCAAAGTACTAGTTACAATCTTTTCATTTTAGCTGTTGCACCAAAACATTAAATGGCCGATCTGTTGATTCCAGAGTATCAAAGCCCTTCTATGAATGCACCAAAACACCAGGAACCTTTAACACGAAGTTTCACTTTCTACCCGTTGCTCCCGTACGTGGCTTACCTTTAACCTCAGACTCCTGCTCACATGGAAAAAAAAAAAAAAGAGGTTACTCCTAAACTCTAAAGCTTGTTGCATATATAAAATGGGAAGAAAACTGTTACATGAGCGATAAACAGAAAGAACAGAGCCAAAAGTAATAGAGAAAGATCTGGTATTATTCATATGGAACCAAAGAATCACAAGAGGAAAACTCTTGCCAAAGCAAACTACCTCTTTACAACGAGGAACTCATTCACCAGTCAAAACTTAACAAGATATTCCCCTGTGAGTGAGGCCCCTGCCTCACTATTTATACCCCCTCTAGATACTGATGTCCACAGCCAACAAACTAACAAATTCCCTAACTAACTCTGTTCACACCTCTTTTAATTCCTTTCTTTTATTCCTTCTTGTATATACCCTCCAAATATGCAGTCTATGCATTTGATGCGTAACAGAAACAATATGAGAATAAACTAGTCAATACCTTCCATGAATGCATTATGTTAAACTAATCAAATGAAGCAAAAACTAAAGCAAATGAAGCATCCCCATGCTTTTTCTTTTTCATTTTTGGGTGGGGTGGTGATTATCCTCTTAAAAGCCAGTCAATCAGATTTGGAAGATCAAAAGACTAGAGAGTACAATAACATCTTATGAACAAGCATATCATTATTTAGTCATTATTCTTTTCTTCTTCTTTTTTGTTAAGATATATACACCAAATGAAAGATTAAAATTATTGTCCTTGCCATTTTGTTTCATTAATTCATTCCTTTATTTTCACTCAGTGTTAGGGGTGTCAAAACGGGTTGACACGACACAAATTTGACACGACACGAATTCGACACGACACGAGTACATCAACACTAACACGACACGAATTTTTTGCGGGTTGACACGACACGACACGAATAACACGCAAAATAGGGGTCAAAACGGTAATTGACAAAAAAAATTTAAAAAAATGGATCAAAATTTTAAAAAATTAAAAAAATAATAATAAAGAATTAAAAATAAAACAATTTTTAAAAAATACGGGTCGACACGAACACGAATACATCAACACGAACACGACACGAATTTTTTACGTGTCATTTTTCCCAACACGAATACGACACGAATTTTCGTGTCGTGTCGCGGGTCGACCCGCGTGTCAAAACCTATATTGACACCCCTACTCAGTGTCATCCATCCAATGAATTGTTAAATATGTTCATTATTCAACTATTTAAAAACATATGTATGTATGCACAATTGAACCTGTGGTGAGTGCAAATATATGTAGCTCTTCGCTGTGGCTGGATTGTGATTTTCTGCACCCTTGCTCCAATCATAGCAGACCTACAGACATGCATACGGTTTCAGAACCAAATTACTGGTAATTGAATGGAAGGGTCATATCAACATGTCCGCAAAAAACAAGCAAATTTTGTTTAATTACTTTTGAAACAAGTTCAAGGAGAACATAAATTACAAATTTATTCGCTTGACTGAAATCAATTAATCCCAACCTACACTGTATAAGCATAAAACTTTAAGTTTATCACCAAACATATTATCTGAGTGGCAGATGGGTTTTAGGCAACTCATTTCATACTCTGCTTTCAATTATAATTAACTGTTCAAAGATGCTTGGATTCTCAACGAAGTCCTTCAATGTTTAAATTTGTCAATTTAGCATTTTCAATACATGTCAATATCTCATCCTTCTGCAACATCGATTTTAGTAGCATTCATAATTTCTTGGCTTAAAAAAATGATATGAATTATAAGCATTCAACATTCAGTTTATTAATTTAAATTCAAGGACTGAATTAAGCATATTTGAGTGTGCCTTCTAGGGAGCATCATAACTAACTCTCAATCTCCTCTAATCAATAAAAAAAATTGACTATGACAAGCTCCATGAGGTGGACAGTAGGGGGTTGAGAATCCATTTGAGGAATAAAGATAACAAGCATGACGTTTCCCCAAAATGGGGCCACATTGATATGTATGAGGCAAGATTTTGAAATTACTCAGATGATTCAGTTATATAACTTGAAACTGTGAGCCTATAAATACGATTTCTTTACTTGGTTATTTGATTATAGTGTAAATATGTAACTCAACATTTTGAGAAGCATCATAAAATGTTTTCCCCCACAGTATAATATTTAACATCAGAAACAGAGGACAGTTGGATATCTTATTACATGTTTGTATATTTGATATTTTTCATGCATGCACAAAGCATGGGTGTAATGTGCTACAGTGCAAGACATGGAGAGACTTAAATTAAAGAGGCAAAATATGCATATCATACGGATCTTAACAGCAACAAATGTAGGTTTCCTTATTCAAGGAAAAGAATGAAATATGAAACAGAGAAGCAAAAATATCTAAAACTGCATAGAAAGTAAATAACGAAGGTTTGTAAAAACTGCAATATGGGAAAATACCGCATAAGCATATATGGAACCATCATTATTGAATGCACTGCAAGGTATGGGCTGACTACACCTTTGCATGGCCTGCAAAAAGCATGAATATGTAAGTAAAATGACAATAACAACAAATACATCAAAATTCAAAAAGATAACTGAAGGTGGATAGAAGACAATATGTCACTTTCAAGATCTTGATACATGAACATTACAGTAATCAGGGCTCTAAGAACACAAAAAGAAACACAAACACCCAAATCTGATATTGAAAGGGATTCATTCTTCCATTTTCCTGTAAGTGATAACAGGTATATTAGAGACTAAGTGCTCCCATGGCCCCACCCTGATAAAAATAATAGATAGAAAGGAAAGTAACAACAAAAATATCTTGTTGGTGACTACACATGTCTGTGTTCAGCCATACATACAGAATTATAGATAGATCCTACTATGAAACAAAGATGCAAAAACTTTTACACTAGAAGAAAAAAAATTACAGAAGTGTATTTTGGAAATTTCAAAAATCAATTTCACATAGAAAGGAAGCGTGGGAAGGAGAGTTTTAGAGAAAATAGGAACCTTGAGTCTCTGTTTACTGTCCTTATCCCAGAAATTAAAAGCACCATCAGATCCAGCAGTTGCAAAAGTGTGATGTATCTGAATGCAAAGACATCAAATAAGATCTTACATAAAAGAATTTTAATTCCACAACTTTCAAAATGAAACTTAATTAATTTTGACATTAAATGGTGTATTACCGGATGGAAATTTAAGGAGTTGACTGAATATATCTCATTATTCTCTCTGTGACATTTAAAAGTAAAATTTTTGCTTTGTTGTGCATCATCCAGGTGATGCACTCCAACCCGTCCTTCTATTGAGCCAATCTACAGAGAAACAGTATAGTCAATACTCAATAATGTCGGCAATTTAAATTTTTGGAGGCCAAATAGTGATGTTCTCAGTGAATATACAGTAAGGATTTGACCAATTGACCAACAGTGATAATAATATCACCAAGAAAACAACAAATAGCATACAGTGATAACTGATAGGTTCAATACAAAATCCTAGCAAATGATGCATTGACAACCCAGATGGCTAAATGCTTAATGCACATGTACCAGCAGAGTATCCTCAAGCTGTAGAGGCTCTTAACAGCATGGACATATGAGCCCCAAATCAAATATAGAAAGTGCCCCAAGTCATAGCGGTAATAAAATTGAATAAAATAAAAGGATAACAATTAAGACTTCTATAAGGGCATTTGGATGTAAGTGAGGAGTGAAAACATACCAAAAAACCTTGCTGATCTGGAAAAGCAGCAACACATCTTGTCTGATATTTCAGGGGCGATATAATTCTTTTGTACTCAGCCTGTTGGGATTTCAACACAAATTAGAAGAAAAACATATAATATTGACATTTATTTAAGTCAATTGCTACTCAAATATTATTGGGAAATTGGTGATTCTTAATTTTTCCTCATCAAAATGATGGAAAACCAGAAACAGTTAAAAAGGTTAGATATAAATAAATCATGTGACAAGTAAACTTAGATAAAGAACAAAACAGTTTTTAACAGACACACAAAACTGTAATAGAAAAAACAAAAGAATAGTGGTTAAGGAGAACACTCGTATTCCATGTGGGTTGCATGTCCATGAGTTCATTTTACATTTTCTCAATTCTCTCTAATAACCAACTAAATGATAGATGCCATATTTTCTCTTATTTGCCGGCTCCTTAAAGAATAAGATGAAACCCCCACAGTGTAACTGTAAATATGTAATAATATTTTACTTGCCAAATTAAAAAAAAAATGCAGTAATCAAGACAGTTAGAGCACTGAGCTAAATTTTTCATAATGCATTCCTTGTAGAGAATAATTTAAGTAATCTTTAGGATTTTTCCTAAGGTGCGATACCACTGAGTAAGGTTCAGATGATCTGGATCGAATTCCTATAAAGTCCACTGTGCACTTTGGAAGTGCAAGTGGTAATTGTTAAGAAAATCAAGGGATTGTAACAAAAACATAGTTTGATATCCAAATCGTAATTTATATTATGACACCAACCTATTGCTTACAAGGCCTACAAGCAACACAACAACAATAAAATTATTTTAGAAAGAATAAAATATCACCTGAGGATTCTGCAAATTGAAGACAATCAGATTTCTATCTGCAGTTCCCACAACCATCAGAGGATGTTTCACTGTCATTGAATAACAACGTTCAGGGAGTTGCTGAGTATGCACCGGGTTTGACTGCCTAGTATCCCAATATCTAAAGTAAAGAAATAAAGCATAAAATAATTTATAAAGTGGCTAAAACTTCAAGTAATCAACCACATAGATACCAAGAAAATAAATTAGAAAAGTAAATGCATTTTTCTCACCAACATACTAAAATTTTTCATAGCAGCTGTTACAGTGTCACCCAAAGAGGCAATCATAAACTTCCTAAAGTCACATGAATGATTTTGTTACATCTCTTAACACGCTCCCTCATGTAAGAGCTCTTTGGGTTTAAAGAGTGGTCAACGCAACTGCCCATTTTTATTATGTGCCAAAATTCGACTTTTTATTAGGAGAATGAGGGCATCAAGGATTGATCTCCTGATCACTTGGTCACAGAGGCTTTGATACCATGACATAAGCCAACTATCCCAAAGGCTTGAGATGTTGGGTGAAGGCACATAAATGGCTTTATTACATCTATTAACACTTTTCCCTTTGGGCAATTTATGAAAAGACAGAAACAAAGTGAAAATAAACTGATCCAAATGAAGCCACCTACTCGGAGCTATACATTTTAGATAGAATATTATAAGTGTTGTTCTATGTATTATGCTGCCTAACAATTAATAGAAGTGCACTATAATATATCACAATTGAGCATACATTAAATAAAAAAGACCACCTTACCAATATGTTCATGGAAATTGTGACCCGAAAATATGTAGTTTCTATGACCCTAACACAATTCATAAACTTTTCAAATGACCATGGAATGTGTTACTTTTTTCTTGCGTGATTTATACACATTAGCTATTGCATAATAGAAGTGTTCTGTGCTGTTTTTTTTATTTTTGGTAAATAAGTGTTCTGTGCTGTTACTTTGTACACAGTGTTGTCTACTCACTAAAATAATGTTCCTCTTTAGTGGGCCCTAACTCATATAAGCTAGAAAAGACACAGTAGTAAATGTAATCATAATCTGAATTCACATAGTCACACAAAATAAGTAGGACTCTTTATAATAAAAATGAAGAAAGAGAATCAAGATGCATACTTCAGGGTCTTGTCCCAGCTTCCAGTGGCTAAAAGATTCATCTCTGGTATCCATGCAAGGTCTTTGATGGGAGCATCATGCATGGCAACAGTCATTGGTTGTCCACCGGATGTAAGCGGCCACATCTTGACCTGCTTGTCACAACCTCCAGAAAAAACTGTTGTTCCATCATCTTTCCAAGCGGAGCATAAAACCTTGAACAATAAAAGAAACATTAAGTTAAAAAGTCCAACCAATTTCACTCTAGTCTCAAAGAACAATACCAATAATTCTTTTTCTTTTTTTTTTTCAACAAAATGAGTTGAAATTGAAACTCATTACTGGTTGCTCATGAGATATTGAAGCCTTGGGTGTACTTGTGACAACAGTCCCATTCCTTGCTACCTCCCAACACCGAACCTATTAAGGAACAAATTGTCAATCAAACAAACAAACAAAAAGGACAAATTTTGAGAAAAGATAATTAGTGTAAGAGTTTCTTGTTGTGTCTTGACATTTGATGAAGTCATAAATTAAAGAAACAAAGAGAGAGATGGTAAACCTGATTGTCCCATGATGTAGCCACGAGGAAATTGGCCTTGGAACTGAAAGAAAGACTCGAAACAGAATCCCCAGGTGGTTGTGCTACCTTCAAAAATGTATGGTTGATGTAAACCCTAGTTGACAAACAATAAACCCTGAAACCAAACATGGCATCAACATTGCAGACTCAAGACCCAGAAAAATTACCTCGTACGATTTGTTCGGATTTGTGTTAGCGGCACCGAAAGTCGACATTTTGATCACACCCCAACACGAAGAATGAGCGAGAAAGAGAGGTTAGTTCAAAGGGGTGAGTGAGTGACTGAGAGAAATGAAAAGTTTGATTTATACAAACTTATTAGGGAAAAGTGTCTATCATTTAAAATTACACAACTTACATCCTTTCACTCTCACAAAGAGGTGGGGCCCACACCTTTATTTTTTTTGTCAACTCTCTCTCCTCCTTTATCTATCTCTTTCTCTCTCTTAAAATGACACAACTTTACATCCTTTAAAATTATACACACTTTTCCCAACTTATTAACCCTACTCCTTTTTTATTATGGTTATACCACGGGATAGGTCATTATTATCCACATGAGTCAATCAATGCTATGGATTTTCAAAAATCTAAATCAAATTATCACTTAATTAGATAAATTTTATATTATACCTCCATATAAATTATGATTTACCTCATTTTTATAAAGAGATAGGATATTATTATTATCAATTAGTATTGTTATCAATATCATTACCAATTTATTTTACAGTTAGATCGATTATATTAATCCAATGATTATATTTATTTTCATCTTTGTATGGTTATGAATTCTTATATTTAATATTTTATATTTATTTTCACCTTTCTATAGTTATGATTTCTCATATTTAATGCTTTCATATTAAATATGGAAAATTATAACCATATAAAAATAGAAATAAATGTAATCGTTGGATCCACATAATCGATGTAACAGTTAAATAAAATGATAGTAACATTGGTAATAACACTAATTACCAATAACAATATCCTAATTTTTTAAACCTTGTAGGAATATTTAAGCAAACACAACAACTTTTGAGATATAAAATCATGTCTTTAATAAGTAAGCCTAAACATTGAGTGTTCTAATTTCATGCAATCCTAATTTTTAATTTTTTACATTTGATATCAAAGCTTAGATTATATGAACTATGATCCAATTATTTATCATTGGACATGATTGTTTTGGGATTAAATATAGTTTTCTTGGTTTTTTTGGCCTTTTGACCATTCTGATGCAGAATCCAAAACATATTATCTGTTTAATTTATTTGGCAAACTATTTATCAATATAATGCAAGTAAATCGCGCATAAAAAATATGTGTTCAAGTCATGCACGCATCTTATGCATGTCTTGCAGAGCGCGACACATGATAAGTGCATTTTGGTTTTTGCACAAATAGTGCATGTAGGTGATGCGCGATTTAAAAGCATACTTTCCATACATGTTTCACTCACATTTGATTGGTAAATAATTTGCTAAAAGAATTAAATGGGTAATATGTATTCGATTCTGCATCAAAAGCTTGGTTTTTTGTGATGATCCATATAACAATCAATCATGTATTTGCTAAATTGCATTATATGCTGATTTTTGGATAGCCTTAACGTATTGTAATGTCAATCACTGATAAGTATTTAACAATTGTAAAATTTGAAATTATTGCTTTTACTCGTCTCCATGAAAATAAATCATGCACAGATATGTCCATATTTTGCTTACTCTCCCTAATTTAGTATAAATTTTTTGTACTCTCTAAATTAAGTTTTATTAGTTAACTAAGGTGTATAATTATTGAAGTTGAGCATAGAATTTGTGACATAAATGATTGTTTAGTAAATACAATATGAATTTTAGAAATACATGTTATAAAGTGTTAGGAAATTATAATTTTCTAATAATTATTGTGGATCACATATTATATTAATAATTATATTGTGTTGTTTATATATATTGGGTAAATTAAAGTGATCAGTTAAATATTCCCAAATAGATTCCTAAGTGAGTATGGGCTGAATGAGTGGATACCGGTGTTAGGCCAACTAGGTATAATGGGAGCTTATTGGCCCAACAATAAAGATAAAAACACTATAAGGGTTATGGTCCCCAAGACGTCAAAAAACAACCCTAGTTTCTCTTCCCCATCAAGAGAGAGACGACATACTAAGAAATTTGGTTTTAGGGTTATTTGACTAAGGAAGACTACAAACTCCAAGAGATAAGATCAAAGTTATTCCGCTGCAATGGAGACAGGTATGCCTCCACCTTTATGTTGTTCTTATTTTTCTTTATGATTTGGTATGATGGATCTTGGCTTGTAGGTGATAGTTATCACCATAAGGTTTAGAGGAATTAAAAATTCCAACAATTGGTATCAGAGCCATCGTCATATTGAATTATGAGGGAATTAAGTTTTGTGATTTTTATATATGATTAATCATGAAAAGTTTTGCTTTATTGTCTTTTGGCATAAAGTTTATTATTTTTTGAATGTGGGTTCCATCTTATGTATTTTGTATTAGCTATGTAGTGTTATTTTTGTTCCCTGACGATGATTTTTTGGTTTTGGAACAAAAGCTACATTTTTTAGAAAAAAAACTAGGATTCACAGTTTAATAAGGGTTTATTATTTAAATTTTGAATCTGTAAATAGATAGAATGTTTGGAAGAATTTTGGCTTTATAATCGATGAGGTTTTGTTGTTTGAATTTTTTGAATAAACAATGAATTCTCTTAGAATGTTTTGGACTTATAGTTTGAAAGAAACCGAATGTTTAAGGTCTTTGGTTTTGGGATTTTCTTTTAGATTTGATATTCTTTGTCAAAAGCCAAATTTAAATTTTTGGGTATTGTGCATCACTTTCAAGCTTTCATTTGAAAAGGCTTACATGTGCGTCGATTGTGCATTAATTTTTAAGCCTTGTAATGAAAAGGTATTTATTGTGTGCATCATTTTCAAGCTTTCATTTGAAAAGACTTACATGTGCGTCGATTGTGCATTAATTTTTAAGCCTTATAATGAAAAGGTATTTATTGTTATTGATATAATGATACAATATGTATATTTATATACATTGAGAATTGATAAAGAATAATTTTCTTTATTGTTGTTATTTTATTTTTAAATGTGTTTATTATCCCTAAGGTTTCTATTTGAAATTGAATATGATAAATTTGTTAGCCGCCACAGTGGCCAAATTTATAAAGGTTAATTTGATTTCAAATAGGTTGGTCATATAAATATATTTTATTTATGCAAATAATAATCGGCCCACAGGAAGGTTATTGTTTGGCCAAATAACATATGTTATGTGATCATGTGTATGTTTATTGTTTATGCGGATAGTGATCGGCCCACAGGAAGGTTATTATTTGGCCAAGTAACAAACATACATGTGATAATAAATATGTGACAATTATTAAGAATTCTCCATGTAATTCATAGTCGGCCCACAGGAAGGCTATGATTTGACAGAACTTATTGTCAATGTTTGATTACTACATTAAGAGTACCACTTGCAAGTTGATATTTTTGTCCACAGACTAAATATTAATGTTGTGCTAGGTATCTTATAATAAACTCATTTTACTTCGGATTATTTGTCTATATCATGTATGTTTGAATATATATGATATGACATGTTATTAGTATATTATCTTTTTTGTTCTCTGTATAGTTTTCGCTACCGCTACCAATTATGTTGCTCAAATGAATATGCTTCCAATGCTTAATGGGGAAAATTTCAAGTTGTGGAAAGAGAATATGGAACTTGTTCTCGGCTGCATGGATCTCGACAATGCGCTAAGGACTGAGAAACCCACTTCCACTCAGAAAAATCCAAACACGTATAAAATTGAGAAGTGGGAACGCTCAAATCGCATGTGTGATGATCATGAAATGTTGCGTTCCGGAGGCGTTTAGGGGCTCAATTGTTGAGACTACTGATGCCAAGTTGTTTCTAAAGGAACTCGAGCAATACTTTGCTCGAAATGAAAAGGCTGAAATTGGTCAAACCTTGTCCAAACTTATAAACATGAGGTATAAAGGAAATGGAAACATAAGGGAGTACATTATGGAAATGTCTAATCTTGCTGGAAAACTAAAGGCATTAAAGTTAAAGCTGCCCTCTGAGTTGCTCATGTACTTAGTTATTATCTCTCTTCCTGCACAATACTGTCAATTTGTGGTGAGTTATAACACTCAAAAGGAAAAATGAACTCTTAATGAGCTCATTTCTAACTGCTGCAATAGGAAGAGAGGTTACAGCGAGAGAAGACTGATAGTGCTCACTTGTCATCAACCTCTAAAGACAAAAAAGAAAGAGAGCTAAGGATAATGCGGATGCTTTGCCAAAGAAGTAAGACCAGGAATTCACCTGCTTCTTTTGTAAGAAATCTGGACACATGAAGAAAGAGTGTTCCATATACAAGGCATGGCGCGAAAGGAAGGGTATGACTCTCACTTTAGTTTGTTGGTACTGGTTCTGTGGCACAAGCGTTTAGGTCATATCTCTAAACAGAGAATTCAGAGGCTTGTGACTGATGGAATTCTTGAACCCCTTGATCTGGATGATTTTGAGGTGTGCATTGAATGCATAAAGGGGAAACAGACAAACATAAGAAAAATAGGTTCCAACAGAGCTTCAGACGTCTTAGAATTGATTCATACGGATATTTGTGGACCATTTCCTATAGCCTCTTGGAATGGTCAACAATACTTTATCACATTCATAGACGACTATTCAACATTTGGATACCTATATTTGATTAGAGAGAAGTCGCAATCATTGGATGTGTTCAAAGAATTTAAAGCTGAAGTTGAACTTCAGTTAGACAAGAAAATTAAGGCCATTAGATCTGATCGTGGTGGTGAATACTATGGTAGATCTGATGGATCAGGTGAACAACGTCCAGGGCCCTTTGCGATCTTCCTAAAGGAGTATGGAATTGTCCCGCAATACACAATGCCTGGTAAACCTAGCATGAATGGTGTTGCGGAAAGGCGAAACCAGACTCTTAAAGATATGGTGAGGAGTATGCTTAGTCATTCTTCATTGCCAGAATCACTTTGGGGAGAAGCACTAAAGACTGCAGTTTATATCCTTAATAGGGTTCCCAGCAAAGCAGTGACAAAAACCCCTTATGAGCTATGGAATGGAAAGAAACCTAGCATAAGGCATTTACACATTTGGGGTTGTCCAGCAGAAGCAAGGCCTTATAGGCCAAATGAAAGAAAGTTGGATTCAAGAACAATCAGCTGC